AAAAAAGAAAAAAAGAAAATTAAAAAAAAGAAATACAAACTCTAGGCCCAGACCTGCACCGGGAACTCTAAACATCAGTAATGTTTTCTGTTTGTTTCCGTTGTTGTCTTGTTTGGGCAGTGCTGGGGTCAAACTCAGGTCCAGTGGTAGAGCAAGAGCTGAGGATCGAACCCAGGGCCTCGCACGTGCTAGGTGAACATTCTACCCTGAGCCCCAGCCCCAGCGAGTGTTTTAATGAGCCCTTGAGAGGGATGCTAAAGTGTGAGGACCTCTGTAAGGACGGAAAAGGCCTGTCCTCAGCACCTCCTCCTCCCTTCCACCCAAGTGGACGGGGCCAACCACTGGGGACAGGCTGAGACCTCGAGGAATGCAGCCAATCTCGGGCCTCAGCTTCTCATCCAAGACATGGGGAGGAGGTCCCACTCCCTTGAGTGGCCAGAAGGATTAAGTGAGCAAGTCCTGATGGACTGCAGCTAGAAGGGTCTCGGGGCTCCTTTTGCAGAGTGGCCTGAAGGAGCCCAAGGGGAGGAGTGGGAATGGGACCCCGGACCCCTTGTAATCAGGAAGACAATGGGGGGACACCCGGGGACGGGCCACTTCCAGCAGCAGGGTTCATGAAGGAGGTGACGGTGGAGCCTCGGAAAAGGGAGGTTGGCGGAGATGAGGAGGTCAGAGCAAAGCCTGGTGTTGGAGCCCTGCAGGGGGCTGGGGAGTGGGGTCCACAGGGCCCGAGTGACTTTCTGTAGAGGACCCCACTCTGCCAGTAGCCCACGAGGGAGAGACCCCCTGGGGATGCGGCAMTAAGCCAGCCCAGGTCTCCTCGGGCAGGACTCCCAGCCCTTCCACCTTGGCCGTTCCTGGACTGTCCCGCCAGCACTGAGGGCTCTCCCGTCTCTGTGGCCTCCTCGTCCCTCAGGCCAGGCAGCCTGCTGGGGCCCTTCCCGGAACAGGATGTGAGAGAGACAGGAGGCGATGGTAGGGCCTCTGCTGTGGGGAGACTGGCCCTGGGCAGGCAAAGTCACAGAATGCCACTGTGTGGTGGGGAACTGGAGGGCTCTGGGGTCACCCAGGGGAATGGATTCAGCTTCCTGGGCCTGTAGGYAGCAGACGGGCCTCCCCAAGAGACCGCTTCTGGGTCCCCCTGCAGGCCTCATGTCCTCCCCAACCCACCCCCAGCAGGAGCGAGAACAGACTCTCGAGAAGGGGATTTTGCTGGGAACTAAGAAAAAACACCCTTGTCCCCTTGGAGAAATAGCAGGCAGGTAGCGGAGGGGTGGGCAGGCACAGGCTGCATCCTCAGGACCCTGAGTGGCAGGCCACAGAGCTGACTCCAGGTGGCTGGGGAGACAGGGCGCCACCAAGGGCCAGCCCAGCTGGTCTGGGGACACCTGCAGTGACTCTCCCCGTCGCCCTTCCCACTGCTCCCTGGACAGGAGGACCACCCTCAGACCAGCTCCTGAAGTCACCAGGCCTCAGCAGCGCCCCCTGAGAATGGCAAGRGGGGGAGCCAGGGACAGGGCAGTAATTGGCCTGGGTCAATGGACACTTGGGCCAAGTGTCCATTCCTGGACAGATCTGTTACCCCCTGGGGCAGCCAGTGGTTGACCAGGCAGGCTCAGCAGGAGAACAGTGGAGACAAACAGTTACCTGACGGTAGGGGACGTGGTCCTTGAAGAAGCAGCCAGAGTGAGCCTTTCCTGCCCAAGTCCCTGAACCTGGTCAGAAAACCATGGGCTGAGCAGGAAGTCATGGTCACGCCTGTGATCCCAGCAGCTCAGGAGGCCGGGGCAGGAGGATTGCAAGTTCAAGGCCAGCCTCAGCAACTTAGCGAGGCCCTAAGCAACTTAGAGAGACCCTGTCTCTAAATAAAATATCAAAAATGGCTGGGGATGTGGCTCAGTGGTTAAGTGCCCCTGAGTTCAATCCCCAGCACCAAAAATACAAAAAAACAAAAGATAAAACCACCAGCTTGTCTGGCAGCCCCAGATCCAAGCTCAGGTGAGATGCCAGGCTGCAGGGCTAGTGGGTCCTGATCCCCATCTCATCTGCTCCCACAGCCATCTGTGTCCCTCGACCCCGGGATGTGTGGCCCTGGTCTGGCCTTAGTGCTCGGGAAGGCCCTACTCACCCCACCCATCTCTCAGTTCCCTCCTGCAGCCACCAACCAGTCCACRGCGCTGGTGGTGATGTGGCTTGGTCTCCTCTTTGTCCATGTCACCTGGGTCGCTGGGCATCCCCCTGTGTTCCACTTCCTGGGCGGGTACCGGGCAGTGATGACGCAGGTCTCACTTGAAAGAGGTGCGGACTGAGTTATCATTTCCTCATTTGCTGTAAAAACAAACACTTTTTGTTGCCGCTAAAAAAAGACCTGGTGTCTGGGTCTCAGGAAAGTACCTGGACGGGGCAGTCCTGCCTCCAAAACAACCTCAGTCCCTGGCTGCTGCTCAGAGTTTCGGTGACCAAGTCCTGATAGCTAAGAGACTGGTCTCATTCATTCATTCAGCAAATTCTCGTGGCTGGCRGCCCACACCTGCAATCCAGCGACTTGGGAGGCTGAGGCCAGAGGATCACAGTCTCAGCAGTTTAGTGAGACCCCGTCTCAAAATTAAAAAATAAGGAAAAGAAAAAGGCGGGGGTGTAGTTCTGGGTGAACTCTCTTGAGTTCCATCCCTAGTAACACACACACACACACACACGGAGGCTGAGCCCCAGTTGGGGGACAGGCACTGTTTCCATTCGGGCCGGGGGAACACGGGACGGTAATAGGCACATTCTGCACGTGTTCCAGTTTGAGACACCCTGGGGCCGATGCTCTTGCCCTCCGGACTCTCGTTCTGGAAGCCGACAGCGTGTGCTGGGGTGGGACAGGCCCCCGAAGGTGACCCCAGGGTTTGGTGTGGGCAGAGGCGAGGGTTGGCTCCATCAAGTGCAGCTGGAGGAGACCCGAGGTGGGGACGGAAGGCGGGTAGGAGGCCGGGGCATTAGGAACCCAGGAGCCTGGGCACCCGGGAGAAGCGGGAGTGACGGCCAGCCTTCAAGGAGTGGGAGAGGTGGTCGCTTCTGGAGGGGGCAGGGAAGACGGCCCAGAGATATCACAAGGATGCCGACCTCCAGCCCAGTCCGTGAGGTTCCGGGGGACAGGCCACCACCCAAGATGGTGCCTGGGCAGGAGGGACCTGGTTCCCATAAGATACAGACAACAGGAGGCCGGCCGAGGTGCCTGGGTGCCGAGGGGGAGCTCAGGACTGGGTGGTGAGAGACGGCTCACAGCGGGAACTAGAGGGGTGGGCAGGGGATGCGGTGACTCCGGCTGATGCAAAGGWCACATCCTCATTTCCAGGGAGCAGTGTCTGACTGAAGACAGATTTAAACTACCGTTTGCT